GTAAAAGAATCAACAAATACTAGAGCTGCAGTGTTTTGTCCCAGTATGGGCAATTTTTTGTGCAGTAGTAGTACACCTTTCACACGTACATTCACACTTTACACATAAAAACACATAAAATATTCTAAAAAGATAAAAGTAAGGTGGATTAATAAATAAATATGTGCAGCGCAGAGGATGATTAAAAGCGTAGGCCTATATGCATGCAACATATGACTATCTGCTTTTCCTAGTAGACTTTAGCAGCTGGACTAACTCCTGTATTCTAACCACAGCTTAAAGGAATAGTACACCCAAAACATGATTAGCCTTCATTTTCTACTCACCCCCATGCTGAACAACACTCTGGAGTACTTTTTTGATATCTCAAATGCATCTGGAGATCTGGGAGGCTTCTTGCTGTCTGCTGACATTCAAATAATGGAGGTCCATGGCGCCCGAGACAGAAAGGTCCATAAAAGTCCACAAAAAACGTGTCAATATTCCTCCATACTGCTCGTCCAATGTATTCCAAGTGTCCTGAGTGGGTAGCATCCAGTATTTACTCGAAACGAAGTCATTTAGAATGTTTTTAGAGCATAAACAGTAGTGTATAGGATTTCCTGAAAGCGCGAACATGCGCGATCACGACGCTACGGAAGCCGGCAGACCAAACCAGATGAAAGTGCGCATTCAGCGTCTGCTCTTCCAATAATGCAAGCGTAGAAGAAGAAATGTGCCGTTTACCTGTGCAAAGAAAGAAACAACGAAAGAAAAATGTCTGAGGACTTCAGTGTTGAGGAAGAGCATGAGTTCTTTGCCGAGCTGAATGCGCTGGTTTGGTCTGCCGGCTTCCGTAGCGTCGTGATCGCGCAGGTGCGCGCTTTCAGGAAATCTTATACACTACTGTTTATGCTCTAAAAACATTCTAAATGACTTCGTTTCGAGTAAATTCTGAATGCTACCCACTCAGGACACTTGGAATACATTGGACGAGCAGTATGGAGGAATATTGACACGTTTTTTGTGGACTTTTATGTACCTTTCTGTCTCGGGCACCGTAGACCTCCATTATTTGAATGTCAGCAGACAGCAAGAAGCCTCCCAGATCTCCAGATGCATTTGAGATATCAAAAAAGTACTCCAGAGTGTTGTTCAGCATGGGGGTGAGTAGAAAATGAAGGCTAATCATGTTTTGGGTGTACTATTCCTTTAAGATGCTGTTGCTTTTCACGCCAGTGATACAATCAGCCTGCTGGGTTTGAGTCTTTTTCTACAAGATGGTAGAACTGACAATGGAACAGGGAGGATCGTGATGTCTCCCATCCCTGAGATAGATGGGAAACTTACATTTTCTGACATTGTTTCAAGATAAATCATCACATTTTGTTTCCAATATCAGAAGTATTCCAATCCTTTAAGTTGTTAGATGCATTTATACACATAATGAAAACAAATTAACTTTATCAGACATATTAAAGCCCATTTATTTGTGTAATAATTTATAGCAAATGATCTTTAAGAGGAAAAACTGGTTAATTAGTATATTAATAAGTCTTTTAATCTATTCTAACTATGCAGGAGACTGAAAGGAGCAGGTGTTGTGCAGCTCTGCTTCTAAACTGAAGAACATGATTATTAGCAGCTCAGAATTTAAACTTAAGCCTAACTGCATCTGATGCATTCGTATTTGGCACAGAGATATTTAGGGAAAAAAGTAAAACCTGACAAAAGGAGGAAAGTAGGAGCTTCAGTGTAATGCTTTATATCAGCCTCATTCAAATAGATTATTGGGTGATGTTAAATGTTATAATGTTACAGCACTAAATAAGGGTTTTTATGCCTGAGTAAGATTTAAAAGAGGGAACCTGAGGCCTATTAATCAAATAAAAGCATTTCAGAGGAACAAAGAGCAGCTAAACAAAGTGAAAGTCAGTATTAAGCAATGAAGGAGCGAGTACAGAAAAAGCAGCCTTCATTCAAGCAGTGATGACCATAGATGGAAGCAGGCAGCCGCCCATCCTGCTCACGCTGCGGGATCATCATATCCCTGTCAGCTCTGCTGCTGCTAGGTTAGCTAAAAGGCTCCGAGCTGCTATAAACCTCCCTGAACGTCAGAAACGGGCAGAAACAATGAAGATATACTGTATAAAAGCGGCGTAGCAGGGAAACCTCGGCTTTACGCACCACAAACACCGCTTCGGGGATCCCGAGGTGCTTTTTCTTTGTCGCCTGTACGGCATTGCTGTTGTCTATGGTCGCCGCCATGTTGAAGAGAAGCTCCTTCCTTCCTCGCTCGCGCCTGCGTAACACGACGCCTGAAGAGAAGAGTGGGGCCTCTGCTGCCTCTAGTGGTTACATCTTGAAACTACACCAGGTGTTTCAACATTTCCGCATTTTGGAGGTTTTTACGGTGGCCCTGTAGTTTTTACATTTATTTAAATTTGACGTAGCCATGCTGTCAACTATGGAGGAGCAGCCCTTCCATATTTATAAATAAATACAGAAATACATAAATGCTAAATAAATATATAAGCATACAAGTAATTGCCCCCAAAAATACAATAAACAAATAAATGTAGATATAAATTAAATTATACAATTAGACATAAATGTATATATCTCTTTTAATTAGCGTATTTATTTATTCGTCTTATTTTTATAATTACGTTATAATTTAATTTCTACCTACATTTATTTGTTTATATGGGGAGGATTAATTGTGTGCTTATTTATATATTGAGCATTTATTTATTTATGTATTTATTTTTAAATATGGTAGACTTTATTTTTAAATATGGTAGAGCTGCTCCTCCATAGTCAACAGAGATAATAACAATGTTTCCTTTTCTATGTGATAATAATAATAATAATAATAATAATAATAATAATAATAATAATAATAATAATAATAATAATAATAATAATAATAATAATAATAATAATAATAATAAATAAGTCAAAAATATTTCCATTTTCCTTTTCTGTAAAAAAAACCTATATTTAACAACAAAGGCTTATATTAATGTATCATTTATCTACATAACTTAATACTGACGACAAAAAAAACGAACAGCATTTATCTTTGTAAATTCAGCGGAAGTTTCACATCAAAAATATTTTTTGTAACAGAATATAAGACTGCATAAAAACGAAGTAGGAGAAATTATTACGAAATTGAAGCTTCACTTATGCTCTTGTTGTCGTATAATGGTACCTGAAGGCAGCTCGCGCCCCAAAGAGTTGATCAGATCATTTTAAGGAACTTCCCTCCTCTGCCCAGAAGGGGTTGCTGTTGTTTTTGTTTTTGTCCATTTTTTTCCCCTGGGTGACCATTAAAACCTTTATAACAGTTTTTTTTACTGACCAAATGTTAAACAGTAATCAGGAATTGTGACCATAGTAGAGGTGTTTATAAAATTAACTAGTGCTGTCAATCGATTAAATTTTTTAATCGCGATTAATCGCATCAATGCCTGAGTTAACTCGCGATTAATCGCATTTTGATCGCACATTTTTTTTCCTGATTGAAAATCATTTAAATACTCTCGATGACATACAAAAAAATGCATACAGGCTAGGTTTGTGCCGATGTTCTTTTTTTAAAATGAAAACAGGTCACAGATACTGATTTATGCCATAGAAACATATGGCAAGAAGATGGGGAGGCATGTAGTAAAAAATAACAAATATGTAGCCAAAAAAAAAGGCCCTGAAAACAGGCTGATGTAAAAGACAGTCTTTACAGTTAATACAGTCTTTTGAACAAAGACAAGCATTTTACCCTACTGCTATAAAATTTAGTAGAGTTAACATTAGATGTTAATTAACCAAGGTAATAATGAACAATTTTCAATCAATACATCAAAATCAATAGACCGACATCACTAGATGGAGGTAGTCTATGCTCTAGAAAGTTAGTTTTCAGCCTCTTAACAAAAATGAGAACACACACACACCCACTCACCCACACACAGACACACCCACCCACCCACACACACACACGATACCGACAAGAATGCCGTAGCAGATTCCATTTCACCTCAGTAATCTGTTTTCTCAGCGTATTTCAGGTTGCTACTAGTTACCAGACACTCAACTTGTTTGTTGGTGGTGGGGCTTAAAGAAAAGGCACTAGCGTCACCCAGTGTATGAGCGTCTTTTTCCCTTGAGGAGCTCCGCTCTAGAAGCCTATGAGAAATGCATACACTGGGGGAAAATAGCCCCGCCTTCTCGCAGGCTGCAGCGGGATGTACTTGGAAAATTGTACCATAAAACCACATAGCGTTAATCTCACGTTAAAAAAATTATCGCCGTTAAAATGGCCTCGCGTTAACGCGTTAATAACGCGATAATTTTGACAGCACTAAAATTAACAGAATTCTGTATTCCAACAGGAAGTGGAAACAAATGATAAGACTGAATAAAAGAACCGACACTTATCAAATCTGACACCACAATTCCAAATCATTTGGAATTGAGATGTATTTTATTACATATATTAGAAAACAAAATGTCAGACAGTAGTAAAATTCCCATCTCAGTAGAGCACAAGATGTAGTTTATGAACTTATGCTACAACTGCAATAAAAGTTTCAAAAGTAAAAGAATATGCTTGGTTAGGTAGGATTATAAGTGATATTTTTTTCAGCGCGCACACACACATACACCCGTACTCGTTCTGCTATATGTAGTGAGGACTATATGTTTACTCCCATTGACTTCCGTTGATTTTCAGTCATTTTCAACCCTTTCTATGCCCTAACTCTAAACCTAACCATTACCAATGCATACCTAACCCTAACCCATTCACACCATAGCCCTAAACCTAACCATTAGCAAAATAGCATGTTAGGACCAGCAAAATGTCCTCACTTTGCAACAAATGGTCCTCAATTTGATGGTAAAATTGGAAAAAAAAATGTCTTCACTCTTAGGGCTAGACAGGTACAAACACACAGACAAACACACACAGTAAAAAAAAAATCTTGGAAAAATGTTGGATACAAAACTATTTTTTCTTAAGCATCATTCTGCTTTCATTTTAGGTTTGTAAAAAAAAAAAAAAAAAACCCTCCCTAAACATCTCTGATTAAACATGTCCCAACATGCTCAGTCAATAGTTCTTGTTACTAAGTGGAAAATAAACATTAGCGCACAAAGAAAAAGAAATCACCTCTAAGGAAAGGGTTAGGCCTGCCTTGATGAGGCAATTGTCTGACACACTTTACAAGTTTTGCATCTAAAAATATTTCACTGATTTCCTCCAACAATTAAGATCATTTTTAAACCTTTGCATTTTTTTAGTATATTCTTAAAGAACAACATTTTAGATTAAAAAAAACATACAAAAAAACAAAAACCAAAGAAAAACAAAACACAAAGATGCACCATAAGATTCATTAAACAAAATAAGCAATTTTGCTTCAGTTTTTCAAAAACACTAAGGTTTAGAACAAGCACCTGGTGGCCATTCCTGAGATGACACTCTTAAATGAGGATTTTATTTGTATCAAATCTTTTAAATCTATCTAAAATACATACAGAACATTGATGTATAAACCCATACCTGACTCAATTTAAGGCTTTTTTTCAAGTCTCGTGACTGACAGATGTGATAATAAGAGGCTCTTTGTTTTTCCCTTCATCAAAAACTCCTGGACTGAAGAAAGGGAAGATCCTCTCAGAGAACAAACACCCAGTGAAGGTGTACATGTGGGATCGGGCATCCACATCAAAGAACGACACCGTCCCCTCCTCGTAATCTGTGAACACTCCCACAGTCTTTGGCTTCTTCTGGAGAGCCAGTAGGACAGAGGGAGAGTCCAGGGCTCGATACTCACTGCCGTTCCTCAAACGAACCGTCCAGTAGCCATTCTCTGGGGTGGAGGTGATCATACCCTTCCTGTTCACCGACTCTTTGACCACACCCAGGTCCCAGAAGGTCTTGTTCCCAACAGCAACCTGGTTTAAAAAACAAGATGTGAGCATGGGTGTGATTTTCCTTCCTTGGTTTGCATTACTTTGGGTTGTTCCAGCAGCTCTACCTGAAAGTAGAACCTCCCAGATCGGAAGCTTTTCTTGCTCACGACACAGATAACCGGGTCGAAGCGTAGGGGATTGTCAGGAACCACCTGCAGGGCCTCTCCTCGGCCCGCTTGCTTTCCATCGGATGACAGGACGATGTTTGGGTGGGCTGTATCTGGGTCCAACACCACGTCCACTGTGGACACACAGTTCATTTCTTAGTACCACTTCCTGTCAGACTTCCATGCCCTGTAGACCCAACTGTTATGTTGATGGCATCATGCTATAGCAAAGCCTGCAATATACCATCGTATAAGAGCTAATCTATTGTTCAGCAGGTATTAAAATTGGGTACATTTATCCTTACAGTAAAATAAAAGTAACATATAACAAAACGCTGTCATAGATTTACCAAAATAAGCCAAATACTAATCTAACTCATTGATCTAACAGCTGGAATGACCTTTTTACGACCTTTGTGATTTTTACCCTTCTATGGAGGAATTTTTGACTAATCCTCTTTACGAGTTTACTAAAGTTAATTGACATTCCAGGTCAAGTTGTGCGCAGTTCTCCTATAAAAAGCACATATTTGGTGTCAGGTTGAGGTCTAGACGTTAATAAACCATTGTTTTACCTTTATCCTTTAAGTACTGTAAAATCTCTTTTGTTATGTTTTGCAGAAACACATAAAACTTCAAAACATAGTCTCAATGGAGGCCTTTAAGAAAACTTTCAATGACTTGGATTCAGACTTATTTATTGTCAGAGGTCTCACTTAAATTCATAAATCTGGTTGTTTAAATGTATTTATTAAGACATGCTTGTTTTTGTGTCTTATTTTGTGCTGCCATTTTGGCGAAGACACTCTTTACTTTAAAGTCGTAGGGAAGCGGCTGTTCAAACCGTTTCATTTCGAATTCTCCCGAGTGGTGCACGACTTTAAACGAGTGAATAAAGTGAATGTGATTGGTCGTTTATCAAGAGGGCGGGATTGTTGTGGCAGAAGGTTCAGAAGCAAATTTGTTGTGGCCGGTGTCTCGGAAGCAGCTTGTTAACCAGTTAGCAACTTAGTGCTAGTAGTTTCCCAATGGGAAATTCCATTGGGACCAAGTAGCACTAAATTGGTGACTTAGAAACGACACTGTCAAGGAACGCTATGGACAGAGGAAACATGCAAGAGGAGGAGAGTTTTGGAGGTCGTGGATGAGTCTCCTCCGAAATACATTGTTTATTTAGAGGAGGAAAGCGGGGACGAAGACGTTGTGGAAAAGGACGCCAGGGCGGCAGAAGCTTGGTTTGGTGAAGACACAGACGTCCATCCCTGTGAACACTGGGACGGGACTCAATGGGAAAGGAAATAATTTCAACCGTTGCGTATATTAGCTGCGACATATGAATCAAGATGCTATGACCAAAAAAAATTGAGTGACAGATGACCGTTGATATATGATTGGCCGAATTTAGGTGCACAGGCTGATGTATAACTAACTGGGCTGCATAAGATAACAAGAAAAAAACACTGATTTTTTTTTTTTAGACAGGATTTGCTTTTAAATAGAAATTTTCTACATTTTGCGTCTGATGAAGAGTACATTTATATACATGTTTAAGCCACAATAATTTTAAATTTAAATATGACTTCCCTACAACTCTAAAAAGAAATTTTTATTCAGCAAAGCTTTTCCCAATTAAATAAATATAAAAAAATCTATAAAAATAACATAATAAGCATAACTATTTTCGACTTGAAAGAGGTTGTTAATGCTTGTATTAAACTCATTCTGTATGAATGTGTTGCAGCTGTTTCATAGGATCAATGCCTGTTGTCTTTTTCTCAGAGCAACAAACTGCTTAAATGATTGCTTTAAGCAAAGATATACAACTCGTTAATCAATTAATTATTCTGTTAATCTGTGCCTGTCGTTTGCAGAAATTGCTTCAACTGGACCTTGCTGCAGAAGCTCTTAATAGAAATTAGATTTTTTACACACTGCTAACGATTACTAGCTAACATTTCAGTTGCACAATGATCCCGTTTACTATGTCATGTGGGGCTTTAATCCAAGGTTTTAGTTATTGACCTTTCAGAACCTGATGTAGGTTCTAATACAGACATCTTAAAACAGAACAATTAGGTTATTTCTGGGAATAACATAAACTTTTCTAAGGTGTGATGAAAAAAAAAGCATGACCTTTAGGAGTAATTCATAGGAATAAAAGAAAAAAATATCATAAAAAGAATAAAGCACAACATTTGATCTCAGTGTGAGTTGTGTCCATACCTGCATATCTTTGCATCCTCCTTATCTCTGTCAGAAAACAAAAAAATAAAATAGTTTGGAAAATGCTTTTTCAAATGTTTGATTAACAGATTTAAGTAAAAATGCTCAATGACTTCCAATAGGACTCAAATATAGCAACAATGTTTCCACAAAAATACAATTTTATCATTAAAAAAACATGAGAAATCCGGTGCTATTGCAGAATGCAAAGCCTATCTATTTGTTAGCTGCAATCAGAACAACAGGTAACCATTACAAACCCATTCATTTTTATACAACTCTAACAGAGGTCCAGTGATTGCTGAAGGTGTGTCGCTTCTTTAAACAGTGACGTGTCTATACTGCCATATAAACTGTCTCACAGAGATCTGCTAAAAACAGCCTTTCAACTCAGTCCCATGCCTGCGGTAGCTGCAATGTAGTCATTACTGCAAGCACTAAACACTGGGTTAGAGTTTTATGGAAAGAATTGTCTTTAATTTTCTTTTTTTGTTTCAATTGAAGCAAATTTGAATTTGAAGCAAATATCTAAAGTAGGAAAGAAGAAACCAATTCCAGCTAGATTTTAACAAATAAAAAATGCCATGTATGGTGTAAAAAAAATGTTAGATTAAAGATTGAAAGTAACAGGGACGTTATGATCCAAGTATGCTAATAGTAGAAGGCAGGGGCTGATTTAGGAAATTTGGGGCCCTAGGCAAAGACAGGAAGTTCTCAACTACGCTCTTTGCATTGTTTGTTTTTTTCATTGTTTGACGTTTTCCGTTTGCACCTTTCATCATGTCCACAGTAAATACACTGATTCAGTGTGGTGGACACTGAGAGGGGGTGGGGGGTAGGGGGGGCTGAGGCACATTTAATATTATAAGCTTTCTGATGGCATTTTTGCAAAAATGAGTTTTTGCCAATAACACAATTACATTTTCTAGAAAAAGCTTTCAATAGGTTAGATTAAGATGAAGCGATATGGGGGGAGTGTTGGCCTAGTGGTTAGAGCAGTGCACTCTGCCTTTCTGAGCAAGACCCTTAACCCCACACTGCTCCCGCAAAATGGCAGCCCAATGCTCCCCAGGGACATGGTTTAAATGCAAAGAGTGAATTTCCCCATTGTGGGACAATAAATGTATTAGCATTTTATATTCACATGTTATAACAATTCTTTTGTACTTTTAAAAAATCTTATTTGTTGAATTTCTAAAGCAAAATTTGAACAAAATTATGTAATTATGGATCAATCCAGTACACTCATTTTTGGAGCAAATTAAAAGATTTACAACATTATCTTTCAGTGATAATAAGGTGAAGTAGCATCATCTCTGTATCATTGAGGCGAGAATATTACACTGCACTACGCTGTGGTGAATATATTTTTAATGGAGACATGCTTTTCTATTCCATGCCAGTAGGTGGCGACATTGTAGACCTCCGGATTTAAAAGCAGAAGATTCTGAATGTTATTGAAGCAGTGTTTAAGTAAAATAATTTTATATTTTCTTTAACACTATTTGCCCTTTCACCTCTAAGTTTTTAAGATTTATGACAAAGTGTTGGAAACACGTATACTACCTATACTTCAGCGATTGTATCAAGGTGCTACTTTAATTGGTTGTGCTGTTCTTTTTACATCTCTTTGCAGGTGATGAAGCAGACAGAAGACATTTTATCATTGTCTCACTTTTATCTCCTCTTTCTTTCATCTTTTCTCCTTTTTCCTGTTTTTCTTTTCCTGTTCTACTTACATTGCAGTGTCCATATAATCTGTAAAACTCCCTGCATGAATTCTAATAAAGCAATTTATATGCATAAATCAAGCGGAACACTATGGCGATAGCCGTACAGCTCCACTTGTGAAAGTAAAATCTGTTGGGTCCACTTTTGGCATCAAGAAAATTATTCTTATTGCCATGTTGCAAGACAGGACACTGAGAAAAAAGAAAGAAAAAGAAACATGCATAGTAACGACTCCGCTGGTGGGGGTCTATGTCTCTAGCACACAAAGACGCTGTAGCGAAGTGGCGTCCTATGTAATTGTTAGTAATTATTTTTTGGTAGTGAAGACATGACAGAGCCTCACGTTGTGTCTTAACTGTCTAAGTTTAACCCATATAGTTTTATTTCCTTCCCCAGTTATGAGACCAAAAGTAAGAACTCTATTGTGGATCGGAAAAGAAGTCCAGACTGCTGTGCAGAAGTCCCTTAAGTACATGGATGATGCTAGATAAATAGGGCATCCTAACAAAACACTACAAAAAAAAATCCCAAAAAGAAAAAAATGGGAGCAAATGACTAAAGCTCTCCAGCAAAAACCAAAAGAGATGAAGATGTCTACATACAAGAAACCATGTATTTTTTGTTTATTTCCTATGGGGTTCTGTGCTTTAACGTCATGTAATATGAAGGATTGTCCATATAGCTCATTAGCACCAGATAGCTCTTATTTGGCAATCGTTTATGTGCATTTGTCCCTAAAGCTGAAGGCTGTCCAGACACAGCACAGCAGTCCAGAGCTCCTTTGCAGGCCTGGATAGTGTTTTTACTAGTGTTGCGCCGATGCCATTTTTTGGCCCCGATACCGATACCCGATACCTGGCTGTACAGTATCGGCCGATACCGATACCATAATAATGTAAAATAATTGCCATCATGGCTTTGTCAAGCTGCTGCCTACCTTTGTGAAGCAGGAAAAAATCTAATACGAAGTGAATCCATTAGAACTTTTTAATAAAAAGTTCTACTGGATAATACAAATAAAAAGTTTTTATTGCCTACCTGGAGTGGGCGACAATAGTTGAATAAACTTATGGCTCTCAAAATGGTATCTGTGCCCTATTTGTTGGTACTTGCCGATACCGATACCACCATTTTAGGGCAGTATCGGCGCCCCGTCCGATACTGGTATCGGTATCGGTGCAACACTAGTTTTTACCCTACGAAAGGTGAATGGATAGGAGCTAGAATCAGGAGGTAGGAACTACAATTTCAGGTAATGGGATGGAGACGGGCCTCAGTCTGGGCTCAGAAATAAAATATGCAAAACTTCTACAAATTTCTCTGCTAGAAAAACTTAAAAGAGCTCAAACGTTAAAGAAGCTTATGGTGGTGAACACCTATTAACGTAATGGTATAGAGGACATTTTTACCGTCTTTCTTCAAGCTATCCAGGTTGTTTTTCAGTGTGTTGGCCAGTCTGGAAAACGCTCTCCTCACTGTTCCAACACAAAGCTCAGGGTAGATCCTGGTTTCTGACCAATCCCTGTTGGTTGGTGGAAGGGACACCAGGGAGGGAACTCTCTGACAATGTGAAAAGAAAATATTGGTGGATTAGTCAGAAATGAATAAAGGAAAGACACATTGTGATGTTTTCCCTGCATACTGTTTCAAATCTGTGTCAGAAAGTTACGTGACAAAATTCTCACAGAGATATAGATGCTTCAGATCCTCATTGTATCGCTTATCTCTTTTTTTTGACAGCCGTGTTTTAGAAATCAGCCTTTATTCACCAAAATCTGGCTGATTTGTACCTGCAGGAGGTGCAGATGATCATCTGTGTGCTGTAGCTCCTTCAGTTCAGTGTTTCTCTTCTGCAGCTCGGTGATTTCCAGCTGAAGCTCTTCAGTGAGCTCCTTGGCCCTCTTCTCTTCCGCTCTCTGCTTCTCCTCAATTTCTGCATTGGCCTCTGCTTGCCTCTCTTTTATTGAGTTGATCATCGACGTGAAGAGACTGTCACTCGCCTTCTTCTCCTTCTCAGCACTCTGCTGGAATTAGAAAGCACCCATTAAAAAAAACTTTACTAAATAAAATTAAATATCTTAAATAAAATAATGTAACTACAAGCACTGTTCTGAAAGAAAAAAAAACATTTTAACCCTCACTCAACTGTGGATTTATTTTTATTTTTCCCCCAAAATCACAGTTTTAAGAGCAGCTAAATGCTTAGTATGTTTCCAGCTATTGAGCTGTGTATTGATATGTTTGCAAAAGAAGTTCTACACTGCATAAACTTTTACATAGAAAACATGAACTACTGCATTATTGGCATTCTATAGTAAGGTTTAGTTAAAAGAAGTCAAAATCTTTTCTCCTGTAGATGACTCATTTCCCCTTATGCTGTCAATGATACCCGGGCAAGTTGAGAATTTCAACCATTTCCTTTGCACATTATATGAAATATGTACTTTAGTCTAACACAAATGGTCTACCTGGTCTACACCCTACATCCTTAAGTATAAAAAGCGTAGATGTTAATCAGGTCTTCCAGCATCTTAAAGGAATAGTACACCCAAAACATGATTAGCCTTCATTTTCTACTCACCCCCATGCTGAACAACACTCTGGAGTACTTTTTTGATATCTCAAATGCATCTGGAGATCTGGGAGGCTTCTTGCTGTCTGCTGACATTCAAATAATGGAGGTCTATGGTGCCCGAGACAGAAAGGTCCATAAAAGTCCACAAAAAACGTGTCAATACTCCTCCATACTGCTCGTCCAATGTATTCCAAGTGTCCTGAGTGGGTAGCATCCAGAATTTACTCGTAACGAAGTCATTTAGAATGTTTTTAGAGCATAAACAGTAGTGTATAGGATTTCCTGAAAGCGCGCGCCGGCGCGTTCATGACGCTACGGTAGCCGGCAGACCAAACCAGATGAAAGTGCGCATTCAGCGTCTGCTCTGCCGATAATGTAAGCGTAGAAGAAGAAATGTGCTGTTTACCTGTGCAAAGAAAGAAACAACGAAAGAAAAATGTCTGAGGACTTCAGTGTTGAGGAAGAGCATGAGTTCTTTGCCGAGCTGAATGCGCACTTTCATCTGGTTTGGTCTGCCGCGGTTTCCGTAGCGTCATGAACGCGCTTTCAGGAAATCCTATACACTACTGTTTATGCTCTAAAAACATTCTAAATGACTTCGTTTTGAGTAAATTCTGGATGCTACCCACTCAGGACACTTGGAATACATTGGACGAGCAGTATGGAGGAATATTGACACGTTTTTTGTGGACTTTTATGGACCTTTCTGTCTCGGTCACCATAGACCTCCATTATTTGAATGTCAGCAGACAGCAAGAAGCCTCCCAGATCTCCAGATGCATTTGAGATATCAAAAAAGTACTCCAGAGTGTTGTTCAGCATGGGGGTGAGTAGAAAATGAAGGCTAATCATGTTTTGGGTGTACTATTCCTTTAAGGGGAAGAAAGCTCCAGCACCTGAAGGTATTGCTACTCGTGAATTACCGTTGTTTACAGATCTCTGGAGCAGGGCAGGGTCAACTAAAAATGCATCATTATCTGTGGTAATGAAATTCTTTGAGCTTCTGGTGATGAACAGTCTGAACATAACAGCTCCCAAGATAGACCATCTGCAATCATGCATAAAGATCAGCTGAGGATGCAGGCCTATAGTTCATCGTGCCCTGCCTTGACCAACCAGTGACATATAGCAGAATCTTGCTTGTAAACCTGAGCTTTTCCGTTAACACCATCAACCAAGATATCCTCCTTGAGCAACATACCCAGCTCAAGATGCTGGCTTCAACCAGTCAGTGATCGCCATCTTCCTGACTGACCACTAGCTGCAACCAATGCTGGAAAGCATCTTCCAAAATTGGAGTTCTCTCTCCACCGCTCTTCTCAACTATTCACAAATGGATGCACTTTAGTAGAATGATCTGTAAAAGTCCTTAAGTTTGGATATGGTGCCAATGTTATTGGTCTGATCCAAGACAACAACAAATTTGAATTCAAACAGGGAAATGGAGCTGCTGCTCCGCAGGAGCACTGAGAACTAGGTGAACCAACTGGAGTTAAACCCGATAATAATGTAGGAGACAATAGCAGATCTCTGGAGAACATCCCTAACAATACCTCACAAAACTACCTGTCAAATTATATAAAACTTGATTAAATAGTTGGAGCAATGTCACTAAAGACCTTTCTCCGTTAAACGTTGTATTTGCCTTTTTTTGTACTTACTGTGCTCAGCTTGAGACAGTTTATGATCTCTTCAATTTTTTTCTGCCTCTCCTGGATCATCTGATCAAAATTGGCCTCTGTTTGCTTCATATGAACCTACAAGGACAGAACACATATATGATATATTGAATATTAGTATTTAAGATATTTTAGCTTTTAGAAGTTACTGCTGGATACAGTTATTCCGTTCTTTGACTACCTTTCTCTCTTTGCTTTCGTCCTCTATTGTTACTGCCTGGTGATTTTTGTGCTTCGTTTCAGTGCAGAACTGGCAGACACACATCTGCTCCTCCCTGCAGAACATGTCCAGCAGCCTCTCATGCTTCTTGCACAGCCTCTGCTGTAGGTTCTCCACCGGTTTCATCAGCTTGTGCTGCTTCAGGGTGGCGACTGTACGGTGTGGCTCCAGGTGGGCCTCACAGTAAGATGTCAGACACACTAGGCAGGACTTAAGGGCCCTTACCTGCAGGGAGGTGGCAGCACACACATCACACACGACCTCACCTGGTTTGGCTGCAGACAGAGGGGAGGCTGAAGAACAGATGATCATTTGTTTTAATGTTTCTGCCAGCTCTTTGAAGGCTGTGTTGATGCTTATTTCAGGCCTTGGAGTAAACGTCTTTTGGCAGGCAGGGCACTGGCAGACATCGCTGCTGTCCCATACACGCACAATGCAGGCTTGGCAGAAGTTGTGTCCACAGGGAGTGGTCACTGGGTCGGTAAACACCTGCTGGCAGATGCTGCATTGGAGTTGTTTCTCTGGGAGCATTTTAGCATATGTAGCTCCTAATCTGTTGGACGAAAAGTGGGTCAATTAAGTTATCAAATGGGGGAAGAAAGAAGCTTCTCTTAAGGCATAAGAATAAAAATATAATCAATAAAGTTAGTCAGGGGTGAATATGTAAAATATGACGAAATTTTTCCTGTGAATCAGCTTTCATACACTTAAGACTAATAACTATTCGGTGTTGAATTATATTTGCCATTTTCTGATTCATAACCAGACACACCCAGTCTTTCCTGAGGTTAGCTTATTTTCATAATAATAAACATAAAGTAAAAGAAACTAACATCTCAATATCATCTTGGACAGGTTTTAGTTCATAGGTGAGTACATCTGATTTCTGTTTTTTAAGCAGAAATGTTATTCACAGAGAAAACAATTAGAAGATAGGTGGTAATCATGATACTGCTGCCACAACCACCATATTTTAGGGATTACAGAGGTGTTCCGTCACTGTTCTTGATGATTGGCTATTCTTGCCTGTGGAAATTCCTAGTCACCTGGATCATGGCTGCCACAAAAACAAGCTTAACATGGAAGGCACCAAACATTTCGACAGTTATCCAGGAATCCACAAATTGATAAAAATGTTTCAAAGAACTGAGCAAAAGCCTTTTCTGTCATTGGCCATTCTTGTAGGGGTCCATCCCTTAGTCTTACTGCCATCAGGCTCATTCTCAAGATTCCAAAGGTCTCACCATAAAATATATTGTTCCTAAAGACGATTCAGGGTCAGCCATGAGTTTTTTCTCAGTGGGAAATGCCTATATCAATTTTTAAAGCAAGCTTAAGACTAGGCATCGTAATCATATGCCTAAACAACTGCAACAGATTTGTTGGACAGACAGGAGGAGTTGCCTAAAAAATAAAGGAACTCCTCGTCCTCCCCTAGCTCTTTTACCCAAGATAGATTTCCCCTTTAACAAAGATGAAGATTGGAAGATAGACAGACAGTGACGGCAAGCAAGAGTAGCTGTTATTCATTATGAACAAAGTAATCACAACAGGTCAGTCTCATTTATTAATTTCTGCTGACTCTGAGCATATTGATTAGACAGTTTAGTTCACAATACAAGGCTTATTTGTAAGGTCATTTTTTTGTTGGTACCAGTATATAGAGTATATAGTATATCTATATAGAAAACATATTTTATCTCGAATACAACTAAAGAATGACAATGAAAAAGTACAGGTAGGCACTAGCTCCATAAATGCATGTTATGCAGAAGAACGTTTTTGTTGTAGACTCTCACCAATTAAACTTGTTGCTTCAAATCTCTGAAATCTAACTTCTTTAGCCAAAACAGGAGATTATTTGTACTTACCTTGACTGAAGCAGTCGGTATTTTGTCCTCTCTAGACAGCAGAACAGGTGATTCCTGCTTTATCAGATAGAATGACTACACTAAAAGCAAACTGTCGCACAAGGAACACAGTTACTCATAAGCCAAACCCTCCCACTCCGAACTCACTAGATCTGACTAATCTTAAAATCCCCATTCACAGCTCAACCAGTTATTAGTTACCGTAGCAACATTAAATGGCTGGCCTAATTAGACCTGTCTCTATGTGCCTGTCTGTATTTATGTAATGATAGTAATATTTAAAAGTAGCTCTCCCAAAGCGACAGAGTTTGTTTGTCTCATGGGTGTGGTGGTTAGGTCAACGGTTAACATTTTTCCATTTGCAGCACACCTGAAGTTCCTGCTTTGGACTGAACACAGGCATGAGGAAGGCTCCAGTGCCTCACATAGTTATATAATAAACAAGTTCTGTTTTATAAATGAGCAGCATCAACATGAACATTTAAAAATAATACAATATACAATGCACATCTTCAGGCTTTCATAGTGCTTTTCACATTTTTTGGCATTAGAACAAAAACATTTATGGATTTACCTGACAGACCAAAGCAAAGCAGTGCGTAATTGTGAAATGGAAAACAAAATGCATGTTGTATTTTTTTATTTAATAATAATTTATTTGAACAAACAATGCAAGATAAAACAGAAAATATAATGAGACAAATATTCATATACATTATTTTACACAATTTCCTTAAAAAAGAACAGGTGCAAGATATAAGATCTTATGGTTCTCTTTTATAGCATTCCTTTCGCGTCTCACTAAGGGGAACACCTCCTGTGTGACCTCTTTAGTAGCTTAAATTACATATGCTTGTGAAGATTCTCACTCATTCAGGTCATGGTCATTCCAAAAAATAATTTTTTTCCAAGTTTGAAGAGGTTACCTGATACTTGTCTATGTCTCTGAAAGGTGGGTTGTTAGAGGAAATTGTTGGCCTGGCTGAACAGGCAAGGTCTTTTGTTCCCCCTGTATGGGGGTGGAGGTTGCGATGATAGTGGGATGGAATCAACTCTATTGCTGCATTGTAGGTCACCCCCTCTGTTTAAGGATGCTTTTTATCTTTATTAACATAGATTGCTTCCTCTCAAACCACCTGTCTTCTTTGCCCAAAATGTGAACATTCTGGTCCTCAAAAGAATGTGCTTTGTCCATAAGGTGTAGGTGTGCTGCTCAGTCTTGACCGGAGGAGGTAGGTCTTCTGTGTTGGGCCATCCGTCTGTGGAGAGGTTGTCTGGTTTCTCCAATATAAAGATCAGAGCAACCCGTTCCCCCTCTACGTACTGCCACTATGAGTGGATGGAGGAAGAAGCAACCAGCCTCAGATTCAGAAGTGTTTCACAGAAACTCTTCTGTCATTCACTCAGTCACAAGGGGGTACAGACTCTAATTCAAAGTCGCCAAGCCCCAGTTCCAAGGAATTAATCTTCCAAGGTAAAAGGAAACTGAATAATTGTCCTTTTGGAAGAAATTTCCACTCTAAAAAAGGAGCAATAAAAGTTGTTCCTCCATCAGAAACCCAGAGAGATTTTACTCAAGGTATCTCCTGTTCCAACAAAAAAGGGGAGATGAATGAGAGACATTCTTGATTTCCAAACTCTGAACAGCTATCTAAGGAAATACAAATTCAGGATGCTGATTCACACCGCTTTATTAAGATCGGTGCAAGCAGGCAAACAGTTCCGCTCTGAATTTGCGTTCACAAACCCATTTATTAGCCTGGGTGCCAGTCCGAACTTAGTCCCGCCCACAAGGTTTGAGTTCGGGGAAGTTCGGTCTGGCTCTGCTCCATAGTAGCGCGAGTATTAAAGCCCACTGTCAGGCGATCCAATCAAATTGTCAGGGCGGGCTTTATACGATGATGGACAGATGATCAAGAGTAACGTTATCAACCACGTGACCAAAGCGCGCTTGGGTGACAACAATAATGGCTGCCGCTGGAGAGTTTGGGTGAGTAGATTCTGCTATTAGGTCTGTTCTAGAAGATATCGACAGCAAATTAATTTTAAAAGAGGAACAGAGAAACGCGATCAAGGCTCATCTTCTTACTCTAGGCGTGCAACCGCACGCTTTGATTTTTGTTGACAACAACTATGCGTCGCTTAAGATACATCACGCACTCCGTTGCTCTTATTGGTTGTAGATCTATCCAATTGAGTGCAGAGGCATTTTTTTCCTGGTTCGTTCAAAACACGCCCCATAATCACAGCTCTATGGAGCAGTATCAGACTCATATTCTGACTAGAATTGAGTCGGACTACGTCAGGCTACCCATTTATCCCCCAGATTGGAAATACTTAAGATTAGCTTTCCAGGAGATTGCATAGGAATTTGTGGTCAAACCTTTTGGGTTGTTGTCAGTGTGTCCTCCCCTTTATGAAGAATGGAAGCTTCATCCTGGATTGGTAAGCCAAATTTGGATGAAGTTCAGTCAGGCTGTTGAGGACGTGTTTGCGTCGAAAGAGAATGCTTAGTGCCCTCTTTACATCTCCCTGCAGGACTAGGAAGCTCCTCTGGGTGTGGATGCCCCGGCACACAGGCGGCCAGTGTTACTCCTTTATACATTTCCTCCAGTGGCTCAAATCACTCCTACCTTAGCAAGGGTGATGATGTAGCGGCTATCCGTGATCCAGATAGCACCTTGGTGGCTGGGGAAGTACTAGTTAGCAGAGATTTTCTAAGTCTTATGGTGCCCTCCGTGGCAACTGCCACTTTGGAGGGACCTGCCGTCCCCGGCTCTCTAGGGCACCGTAAACCAAGTCTCTAGACGAGCTGAAATGGAAGCTGTTTGAAAGCTGGTGTACAGATTATAACAACATCTCCTATAAATGCTTGGTAGCTGTGATCCTGTCACGCCTGCAGGACCTTATTGATAAAGGAAATTCCTTTGCAACCACAAAGGTATATTTGGCTGCCATATCAGCTTTTCATATTGGGTTTAAGGGGAATAAGTGGGTCAGCATACACTGATGTGCCCCAAAAGGGACACAAAGTAAATTACGCACGGACCACCCAACTCTTCGGGAAGCTCTATCTCATTCTCCTTTTGAACCTTTGGAAGACATTGAGCCAGGGTTGTAGATACCTTTTCATATTGTATTTTATTTATATTTTGCCTAAATTTTGATTATATAAATGAAAAACTAATTACACAAAAATTGAATGTTGGACCATAATCTAGATCGCCAACAAAACTGCAATGTGTTTTATATTTAAGAAACAAGAGTAGCACGACTAAAAAAAGTATCTTGAGCGTTTGGGCATATGTGCTGGGAGTCATTGTCAACACGCTCTCTACAGTGACTGCCACACACGGGTTACAGACGTTGTTAGTGAGTCCGTCAGTCATGGCAGGTGAGGAGCACAGGAAACTACAAATGCAGCTGGAGAGCAGTTTAAGTTGTTGCTGACTGTGAGAAAAACATGCATTTTCAAGAGGAAATATTTCAGGCCAGCAAGCTACTCAGACAGCAAGGGAACATCCAACCAAAGTTTATTTAAAGGTATAGCCAGGGATTTTCGCGTATTTTTGACAAGACCTGCCTTCTCCACTTAAAAAAACAAAAGATACACATGCACAACCCTGTACCCGAGAGGGAACACCTATTAAATGCGTGCGAGAGCATGCACAAGCCCATTTCATGCACGCTCTGTTTAAAAGTTACTGTTTGCCTCGCTCCAACAACTTTACTTTTCAAAAGAAGAGTTGCAATTTTTCCACTACCTCACCGCCGGGAAGTAAAAATGGGCATGAGTACGTAGGACAGTCTTACGTAAACATATCCCCACAATGATTGACAATTGGAAGTACCACTTATTTTGATGATCCACTAGGAAAAAGAACATCCAATACACTTTTAACTCTAACTGTACCAGTCATTGGTCAATTTCCACCAGGTGAATCAACATTCATTATGCAACTGATATGTATGCGACATCTTGAACTGAACGCGTTGAAAATGACTAATAAAACTCCATGAATTATGAGATTGAATTGGCATATTGTTTTTATTTCTATATGTTAAGTATTTGACTGTGTTGATATTCTTCATGATAGGGAGTAAAAGGCTGAGTTACAACCTCTTCTTTGGGCCAAGCAACAAGAGGAGTAGTGAGGAGAGTGAAGATACTGTGGCAGAAATGTATATATTTCAAAAGTCAAATGTTTATTGCATGGCACTTGAAGTATTGTTTATTATTTTAACAGAAATATGTTCAAAAAGCTGGCTTTCCATAACAAGAGTGAATAGACTAGGCTCTATCATCAACATAATAATGTAATATAGCTTGGGTTTCTATTTTTTTAATGCTGAAGTAAATATGAAGCAAATTATTCTAATTTTAATGGAATGTCTTTTTTGATTCATCTCTAGATGCTTAGATAGAAGCTTCAACGGAAAGATGACCTGAAAATTTAAGTCTATGAGTTTATAATGAAATGTCTGCCAGGAAAGGAGGAACAGAGAGGTGCACTGACTAACCTATTCAAAAGTCATCGAGATGTTGTTTTGCTCCTTAAAGGTGCAGTAGGAGATATTTTCTGACGCATTTTTTACCATGTGGCTTAAAGATCTCCCCACAGCTGCTCAGCAGGCAGTGAAATAGAAGGTCTGGAAATGTAACTAAAATAAATGGTCCCCACTGCAGTGAGAAATCAATTTATAACCTCAACCAATCACAAAAGACGGTCCATTGAACATGATTAGTTCCTGACATGTCAATCATGTCACATGAATGAATCAACCCCCCAATGCTCGTGCAGGACGCCATGGCTGGAAGCTAGCCACTGTTATGCTGCGTTCACACCTGCTGCAAGAGCAGCAAAAATGCGCATGCTGCTTCATTTTTTATGCTTGCACCAGTTTAGTTCTGATGCGCGGCTGAAGAATCTTTGCTAGGGTGACCAGATTTGGGTTTCTGAAAAGAAGGACACATTGTCAACTGCTGGGCTGCTGACTGGACCAGACCTCAACAGAGAGCCGCCCGTCCTCAGCTGGTGGAAGGGGGCTGGTGACCAGTAAGGCAGGCAGGGGGGCGCACGGGGCCTCCATTGTCCAGGCTACCATTACCGGGTCAGGTTTGGTCGCTCCGTCCCCTGCCGGCTCCCTGTTTCGACTACTTGCTGCATTGTAGTCGACCAAAATCCCGCAAGATTTTGAAATTCTCCCCGGACATTTATTTTAGGTTTGAAAAGTAGGACATGTCCGGGAAAAAAAAGAACATCTGGTCACCCTATATTTTCTGCTCT